CTCTCATCCCTTCCTTCCTATTTTTTTATCTTTGTTTCAAATTCCATGCTCTGTTGTTGAAAGGATTGAAAAAATTTAGAGGGATTTTCGCTGGCGTGGCAGGGGAGAGGAGTTTAAATATCATCTTCGTAATTGGGATCAAGTCTGCCAACCGTTGAGGTTAAGTGGGTTAGGCATTCGAAAAATTGTTCCTTTTAATCGTGCTCTTTTGGGAAAGTGGTTATGGAGATTTGGAAGGGAACGCCATCGTCAGTGGAGAAGAGTTGTCTCTTGTCGTTTTGGTGAGGAGAGTGGGGGCTGGTCATCTCTTCCAGTCACCTATGTTACCTGGACTCGGGTGCGGATGTCGGACACGGGTGCGTGTCCAAAGGTCGGATCAATCCATTTATCATATAGGACACGGGGACACGGAATAAAAGTGTCCAAAAGTTGGACACGGACACTTGGACATTTGTAGGAAAAGAAAAAAATGTACCCTTTTTTATGTTAGACCTCAAATTTTTAATGAAAAATTGAATAAATATATAAATGTAAAGATAGCAGCGTGGAGCCTTCCCAGCTCTATTTTTTTGTGATGCAGGTTTTCTTTTTTTGCTCTGTTGTTGCACTTGTACCTGTTCTTACAGTTATGGATGCAACTGCAATGTGCTCCTATGTGGGCCTGTTTTAGTTTTGTTTTTCTGGGCTGCCTTTGGGCTAGGCCTTTCCTTGTACAGTTTCTTTTTTTTAATGAATGGATTTACTGTAAAAAAAAAAAAAAAAGGTAATACAACTATTATAATAATATTACCTTATTTATAAAGTCAAACTGTTAGGTCAAAAAAATTGCTCAAGATTGACCGATAGATATTACTTAAATAAAATAATACAGCTGTCCCAGTACAGTTGTAAATTGTTCATAGCTTAGATAGTGTTTTACAGCTGTAAAACATTATCCTTGTTAAAAGACCAAACTCTCCCATATTTTTACATCCAAATTGACAAGTGGCATGATCGTGACCGTTGAAGGGTATTAAAAGCATTAGTAAGAATGTGAAAACACGCTCGGCCGTTACAAAATTTTGTGCAAACAAAGCGCGTACACTTCAGTCTTCTTTAACCTTCGAAAGACGCTACTTTTGAAGCAAACCGCCATTGTTGTACCAGTAAGTTCTCTGATCTCATTAATGGCAACCTATTTAACAAATAAAGCATGAAAAAAGTTCGCAATCCTTCACAAGTACCAACCCAAACATCTTTGTTTGAGTTTTCGTCATCTATCAGCCGTGTCCGGTAGACGCCATGAAGGATCCGACTCAGATCCAGTGTCCGTGTCCGTGTCGTGTCGTGTCGACACGGACACTTCGGCCTGAATAGGCGAGTCCAGGTAACACAGCCAGTCACTATTACGGGAGGCGTTGGTGTGTGGAAATTCATTCGGAAGGGTTGGGATGTTTTCTCCACTCATATTAGATTCAAAGTTCGAGACGACAGACATGTTCGTTTTTGGGAGGACCTTTGGTGCGGCGATCAGTTGTTGTCTCACTCCTTTCCTAGGCTTTACAGTATTGCAGCCAATAAGCATGTTTACATGATTGATTGTTATCAACTTGATAACAATGGAGTTACGTGGGATGTGCGGTTTAGGCGGCCCTTTCAGGATTGGGAAATGGAGGAAGCTTGTGTTTTTTTGGATATGTTGTATAGTCAGAAGGATATTGGCAGAGGGTATGATGATATTCTGTGGGTTCCTTTAGCTCATGGTCGATTTGGTGTTCACTCTTTGTTCTTTTGTTTGTCCAATTTCGTTGGTCCTGAGTTCCCTTGGAAGTCTGTCTGGCGCTCTAAAGCTCCTCTTCGAATCGCATTATTTGTTTGGACTGCCACATTGGGGAAGATTTTGACTTTGGACAATTTGAGAAAGAGAGGCAATATTATTGTTAATTGGTGTTGTTTATGTAAAGCTGATAGTGAATCCGTGGACCACATTTTTTTGCATTGTCCTGTGGCGTTTGATTGTTGGAGTTTTATTTTTAGTTTGTTTGGTGTTTTTTGGGTAATGCCTAAGCACTCCGCTCAATTGATTAACGCTTGGAAAATGTGTCATGTCAAAGAACAAGCTCGAGATTATTGGAAGATTGTTCCACATTGTGTCTGGTGGTGTTTGTGGCGTGAGAGGAATAACAGATCATTTGAAGGAAAAGAATCGTCTTTAACTACTTTAAAAATTCATATTCTTTTTTCTTTATTCTTTTATGTAAGAGGAAGTGCATGTTCCTCGATTGATGATTTCTTTGATCTCTTGGATTCCATTGGTCCTTAGACCTTTTTTCTTGTATTAGGGACACGTTCTCCTTTTGAACGTTTTTCTAATATATTATTACTTATCAAAAAAAAAAAAAAAATGATGATTTTTTATGTAGAACTATTGAAGAAATAAGTAGTTGATGCTTACTTCAGCTGATTTCTGACTGAGCTACACAGTCGTCCTTAGTTATAAAACCTTGGCTGACAAAGTTCTTAACTGCACAAAAGGTGTAAAGTAACTGGACTGAGCTTACTGTTGATCATGGATTTTCTCTAATACTATCCTGTGTATTCGTATGATAAGTTGATAACAAGGCTTTCAATCCTGAACCTTTTGAAGTGTTATAATGATGGAGCAGGAGATGGATGTTCAAAATCTCTTTCATCAAGAACTCATTGTGTTGCTTGAACTACATTAGAATATGATTGCACCCTATTAAGCATGAACATTGATGTGTGATATAGTTACGACATGATTGGACACCATGGTAAACCAAATTCTTAAAAAACAAGATGCATATATGGCCAGTACACGACGATATATTTAAAAAGACATCATGCACTGATATGCATGTACATCTATATAAAATTAGAATATATAGGTATCTATATATAAATTCAAAATAATAATTTTTTCATGTTATAATTTATATGCATATATCGCGACTAACATTACCTTTTGAAAATTATAACAAGCAAGTAATTTTTGGGATATATTGAATATTTGGTTTTTCTAGCTTAAAATTTTAAAAATCACATGAAAAAGTTGGGAGTTATGTTGCATGGACATAGACTTTGGACTAATTATACAGGATAAGTGTTTAAATCCTTGTTATGCTTTTTCTAACACTTAGAGCATCTCCAATCCAATGCTATATGGGCTGCCATTTCTAAAAAATAGCAAGAGATGGTAAAAATGAACCTTCTCCAATGCAATGCTATATGGGCTGATAAATTTTAACTTTGCCAAAACTTATACCTATTGTAGCACAAGAAATAGCTATTGCTATTTCAGAAAAAGAGAACGCCCCTGGGGGGGGGGTATATATCTGAACCCATATCGGCATATCATTTCTGATTGTTCAAAAAATCAAAACCCATATCTTTCAACACCGACCCCCCCCCCCCCCCCAACCCATATTGTGTATATATATATATTTACCCCAACCCATATTGTGTATATATATATATTTAAAAAAGATCATAAAAAATTTCACCAAATAGGATTTAGTTTGCAAAACAAGAATTACAGACCTTGATTAGTTGATTTAGAAAAAAAATTAAAGCAAAACCCATACGTATAAGTTAGCAGTTGCAGAGAGAGAAGGGGCAAGCTTGAGAGTTGAGAGACAGCAACTGAAGCTTGCGAACGGCGAACCCGAATTGGAACAGCGGGCGATGGAAACTGAAAGATATAGGTTTTGAACTTCTGATTCTTGTTGATTTTGTAGTTTGAAGTTGCACAGAGATAGAGAGAGGAGGGGGCAATTTCAGAGTTGAGAACGAGAATAGAGATGGAGGCGATTGGGGAGGCTGAAATGATTTGCCCTAAAAATATATATATTTTTAATAATAATATAATCAAATATACTATATAATATACACACATATATATATATATATATATAATATATAAATTTTTGAAAAAGAAAAAAAAAATTATATAATAATATAATCAAATATATAAATTTATACATATATATATATATATTTATTTATTTATTTATTTTTTGGTCCTTTTTTGACCACATATTTTAGATTTTTGCTTCTTTTTAATTAGGTTTAATTTTAGTTTTCTTCTAATGTTTACAACTTGACTTGGAATGTGCCTAATATTAATATTACTAATGCAAATAAGATTAGTGGGAATGGTAGTTGAAAAAGAATGGTAGTTGTGTCAAAAAATAGTATTTTGCATGTTGCATTTTGACACTGTAACATCTGTCAAAATATAGATTTGGCATGTGAAAATAGCTTTTAGCATTAGAGATGGCCTTATACTGTGATATTATTTAGAAATGATCTTTTGATGTTTAAGACGTGTTAGACATGTCTCTTGGAGTATCTGAGATTTGAGAAGTATCGTATACATGTCTGAAATAAATATATATTTTTTCAAATATGGATAAACTTAGGAAGTACCAGGTCGTGCATGCATAAGTATCCGAGAGTATCAATATCTGATAAGGATATGCGTGATACATAAATGACTCCCTTATAGATAATCTTGTTTCATAGATTGCATTGGATAATGTTTGAGGGTCTGGCTTTTGCTTTGGTCAAGAAACATTCGGATGATGCTTTCAATTCGCTAGTCTAATATTTTCCCCGTTGTCAATTTAGAATTGTAAATAATTGTTTTTTTAAAGTAACTTGTTTTTTTTTTTTTAAAAAAAAAAAAAATGATATACCTGTCAAAGTGGTCAACAACATCATCTCAGTTATATATTCACACTTAATTCAATGCTCTTCTTGAAGTGTGATGATGACCGATGCATTAGTTAGGTTAATTTGTTTACAAGTTAGATCATCTAGTTGAGTCTATCTTCAGGTATTACATGTCAACTGATCAATCATTTTATTGTTATTCCAAAGGTAGCATTTTTTACGGTTGATATTCCAATATTTGTGATATCCTTTGTAAGAAAAATACTGCTAGAATGAGAACTTTCAATTGCTTCTAAAGCATAACCTGCTTGTGGCACTGGATATAGGTATACAAGAAACTACAGATGGAGTTCAAGTTGATGATGATTTAAATGAGCCAACCATGGGTGAAAAACTTGCAAGTTTAAATTTGCTAGACAATAACGATGTTATGAGCCTCGAGAAGCAAGAATCTTCCCAGCACAGAAAGCCGCCAAGTGCAGACTCAATTCATGTTCTACTTAAGCAGGCATTGCATGCTGATGATCGATCACTTCTATTAAATTGCTTATATACCCAAGATGAGAAGGTCCTTCTCAGTCCGTAGTTAGGGTTTTATCATGTTAAGGTTCAATTCTCCTAATATTAGACACTTGTTTTATCTGCTAATCAACATGATATACTCTGTTTTCAGGTAATTGCAAATTCAGTCTCACTGTTAAATCCATCTGATATTCTCAAGCTTTTAGAGTCTCTGATATACTTTATCCAGTCCAGGTAAAGCACAAAATTTTTAATTGGTTATATATATATGCTATGCTGTTTGAGTGTATTTAACATTATTTTTTTTATATTACATTTTCAATTGGTAATACTATATTTACAAACTTTTGTTAGTCTTGTGCTTTTATGAACCCAAGCTTTGTTAAAAGATTTCTCCCTGGAAATATTGCCGAAAGGTCCATTTGCAGATTTTTTTTACTACGAAGCCAACCTAGTACTGGGCTATTTGCTGAAGTGGACATTTTGCTGAAAATCATGCCAAAAGTTCTCTTTGGAAATAATATCAGAAGGGCAAGATTCAAATATTTTTATTCCTCATGGTTCCACCTATATAAATAACAAAATTAATAAATTAAAAGCAGCTAAAATTATCAGTAATAATTGGAAAAGAACTACAATTGTCATAATACTTTTCTAGGAATTTGTTTTGTGGTTAGCATTTTAATGGAACTTGGAGGTATTAGTATTGTCACAAATTGTGGGACATCATATGAGCAATGTTATTGGCTTAAAATTGGACCCAATTGTAAGAACCTTTTGTTTGGATGACAAGTCGTCTATATGTCTAACAGCTCCCATGTACAAAAATGGGGTGAACTTTTGGCCGTTATTTGAGATACCCTTGAATTTGATGGCCCAGGTGGTGGTTGCTCCCACTCACAATTGAATATGTAATAGAATGTAAGAAACTAGGTTCTGATCTTCTATGAAATAGAACCAATCTTGTAAACTGCCTTCATATCTACTTTGGGTCGTGATTTGAGAAATCCTTGAATTTGGAGGGGTGGTGGTGGTGAGTTGTAGGAATATTTCCTCTTTCTTGTTAATTCTCTATGTCCCCCTTTTGGAATTTATTTCAGTGCAAAAGAAGTATAATTTCAGTTTGAGGTATGTAGCAATGTTACTTAAGAAAGATGCCAGACAAACAAAGGGCCTTGCTAAATCCTATACAGTGTTATGTGACCGTGTTATCCAGCCAGAAAAGAATAAAATAAAAAATGAAATGATCATAAGATCTATTTTACTTTTCAAAGTGGCCAGCATTCATTCCCCTTTATAAAAAGGTACCTTGTCTTGTCCTGCCTGTTTAAAATCTATTAGTAGATTGTTCCTGAAGGATTTTCCTTCCCTATAATAACATAAGCTATCTGTTTAAAACATTGATCAAGTTTTTTAGTGCTAACTCATGCTTGATAAGCATGGACTATTGCTGACCACACTGAACCTAATAAGGGATTTGCAATGTGAAATAGTACTGGCTGAGAGAGTTTGATGTGTTCAATTTTGTCTTGTTGGTGTTTGGTAATTTGTTCACAATTATTTTGGTTCAAACTTCTAGGTCTAGATTATTGGGGTTAATAATTTGTGGCTGATGAATTTCCATTACAGGGGTGCGGTGCTGGTTTGTGCCCTTCCCTGGCTAAGAAGTTTACTTCTTCAACGTGCAAGTGGAATACTGTCCCAGGAATCTTCTTTACTTGCCCTCAATTCTTTGTATCAGGTCAGAACATGTGACTCAGAGAAAAATATCTGAATAGAAGTGAAATTAAATATTTTTACTTGCATATTATGTGTGTGATGATGCCAACAACCAGTTGATTACATCTATAGTCACAGAAACAACTTTGACTTGAAAGGCTTTTGCAGAGTAAGAACGCATGTAACAATAGCCAAGAAAAAGCATGTTTGTGACCAGGCGGTCAAGGGCTGCTGATATTTTATTCTTGAATTTCATGTTACAAAATGAGTATTAATCAAATTTTGGTAAATAATAAAAGGGTAATTTATTGGGTTACTTTCAAAATTTGGAAAATCAAGAAGATGTTAATCTTTTTGGCCTGATGATTTTGAATTGTGCAACTCTTATTTCATCATTTATTAAATGCAATGTAAAAGATGTTATTCTTCTAACAAACTATATGGGGCCTCTAGAGGACAATTGGTTGCCCCATAGATTTCAAAGACGTTATTGTTTTAACAAATGATATGGGGCCTCTAGAGGACAATCAGATGCACCTTAAATTTCATCAATCAAATTGCACATGCAATTGAATGATCATAACCCTATAATATGTTGTTTTTTTACAACCCCTTGTTTACATGTTGTCTAATGGGATTTGCTGACACACATGCAGCTCATAGATTCTAGAGTTTCTACATTTCATCCAGCTCTTCAACTATCAAGTTGTATAGACCTGCTTCATACAGGGGTGAGTCATATCTTAATGTGTAAATTGAGTTGGTGGATGTGATTTCTTTTATTAATGCAAACTTCTCTCTACAGACTCTTGACGATGGTTTAGACGAGAATGGCACAATAACGCCGGTTATTTATGAGGACAAGGATGAAAGTGACACTCAGGAATCTGAAGATGCTATGGAGTCTGATGAAGAAGACGACGAACCAAATACATTCACCGAAGATGGTGATACTGAGGGAAGCGATGGCATGGACATTTGATGGACCACTAAAGACTGGTTGGTTGCACATCTAAGAACTGGATTCTGCATCGAATGTCTACAGTGAGTTGTTGTAAACTACTCGGGAAAGAATATGTACTGAAGATGCGCGATTTGGAGTTTTTTTCCATTGCAAAAATCGCCCAAGAACACCATCCAAAGCCCCTTTTGCTAAAGCTCAAGTCAAAAATAAAGGCAACAATATATCTACGAGTATCAGGAGCTTACGAGGAAGCATAAATATTCTATATTTCGTACCTCACCTGCTTTTTTTTACGCCAATTTTTTGGTTATATTGCCTGTAAGCAAGACACATTTTGATGCTACTGAGAAAAGACCATTTAGAGCTAAGTAGCTATAACTTTTCAGTGCTGCTGTTTTTGAGCCTATTGAAGCAGTTTTCTCTTGCCTAACAATGTTCATATTTTAGGAATCTTTCCTATATATATATATATATATATAAACCAAACCCAGAACAAGGAGTTTTGATTGTCCTCTCTCAAACATAAATCTAGGATCTACAATTTTACTCCCGTGTTCCAGAAAGAGAGTCATGTTTTGGAAACTTGTCACAGTTTCAAAACATGACAGTGTGTGTGTAACTGAGACTACTAATTGAAGGCGTCTCTCTACCCTTTTTGATCCTCTCTCTTTTACACATTTTTCTTGTTAATAATTTGTCGATGAGATATTTGTTACCCTGTTGGTAGACTCAGCTCCCTAAGAGCTGGTTGATCAAAACATGTGGGTGTACATGAGTCAGGTCGGTAAAAAAGTTTCTACAAAACTGGGTCCCCTCATTTTCTTATCTGTTGACTATTCGTCCAAAAGTGTATGTATATATATATATATATATTCTGGGTGGACAAGAAATTCTGTAATATGTTCGGTTGGGTACCCTCAATTTATTCCACAAGAGGGTGCTGCCTCCCACCATTCTTAATGTATAATGGCATTAGATTCATGAAATAATATCCTAACCACCATTCTTGACAAGCATCTTCACCTTACAATCCACAAGCCATATCTATCTAGAGTAGTGTACGTTCAAGCGCCTTCACCAAAAACACACACACACACACAATGACACAACAGGGGTAGACATTGATTAAAGAAGATTATTGTATTACACCACAAAGGAAAGGAAGGGAAACACCTGATTGCAAGGATTCCATAACAAGTTCAAATTACAATCTTGCCCCACTCCCCTCCATTAGAACAATGGAATTAAACAAAGCATTCCTCAACTATATATGAGGCTCACTTTATTTTTTTCTTAAAAAAAAGGAAACATTAACACAACATCCAAGAACAACAACAAGAAGAACAGTCTTGGCATGTGACTTATTAATTACTACTCCTTCCTGGTGGTGGTGTCGGCCTTTTTGTCACCCTCAGTACCAGCCATGCCCAAGGTGCGCTTCACAGTATCAGCAGTACTTTGGGCCACGCTCATCACTTGCTCCCCTGTCTTCTGCAGGAACCCCCCAGTCTCATCCTTCCCGGATTGGGCCGTCTTGCAGACCGTCTCCGACATCCCCGCCGCCTTCTCCTTCGTTGCCTGGGCCACGCTCGTCACTTGCTCCCGTGTCTTCTGCAGGATCCCTCCAGTCTCATCCTTCCCGGATTGGGCTGTCACGCGGGCCGTCTCCGCCATCTCCGCCCCCTTCTCCTTCGTTGCCTGGGCCGCTCCGCAGGCCTTCTCCTTCGCAGCCTGGCTCATCTCCGAGGTCTTCTCTTTGGCAGCCTCCGTCTGTTCAGAGAGGCAGCTTCCAGTCTGGTCCTTTCTCTCTAGGGTTCTGTCTTTTACAAATTTGGCCGTATCTTGGGCCTTGTTTATGGCTTCTTGGGCCTTCTGCTTCGTGGCGTCCATCATCTGCCCGGCCTTCTCCTGTGTTTATTACATGTATTAACAAAATCATTATTAAACTTACATAATCAGACATTGACAGAGACAGAGTCCATTACATTAAATCAAAACATATATGGGTGTATAGAGATATTAATGTATGGCTTCTACACCACACATTATTTTTACAGGTAACATTGAATGGATGTCCATGATAACACGTCACAACCACTAATATATCAAAAAAACCTTCTCACCACGGTGCATGTACTATGCAAGATGTGCATGCACATAGAATCAAAGAATCACCATGTCATGCACATTAAAGAATTATACAACATGTCATGCACACACACACACATATACATATACATATACATATACATATACATATACATACATATATATAGATATAGTTTTACCTGAGTTTGACCCTTGACTTCGGCGGCTTTGTTGCTCTGATCTTTAGACGACATTTTCAGTTGATTGATCTTACTTTGAAGAAAATTGATTGGTTACTAACAATAGAATGGTTGAGGAAACTCTTACAGTACACAAGGTAAGCTTTGATGAAAAGAGCTGTGTTGCATGATGCATATATATAGAGCTTTAGTGACCAGCGTTGGATCAACACGTGTCCTAATTTCCGACGCGGGTCCAGCAAACGTGTCATCCAACAGCTTACTGTACGTTGCATCCTCGATTTTGTAATTTCAAACGGAAGATCAGATCGATGACGCGACGTTACTTTATACTTGATAGCGCCACGTGGCACACTGGCATTAAATAATGGGACCTTGTCTTATCTTCCATCTTTAAGTAATCCTTCACAGAATATGAATATAGAGAAGGAGAGTTGCAAAACAAAGGGTAACATATATATATATATATATATATATATACTGTCTCCATTCCAATATGTCCAGTTCGTAAACTGTTTGCACCCCTTGTTGCTCTCACAAAGATTTGTGGCCCATGTGTTTTGCAAATGACATATTTAAGTAATCCTTGTCTTATCTTCCATCTTTAAGTAATCCTTCACAGAATATGAATATAGAGAAGGAGAGTTGCAAAACAAAGGCGAACATATATATATATACTGTCTCCATTCCAATATGTCCAGTTCGTAAACTGTTTGCACCCCTTGTTGCTCTCACAAAGATTTGTGGCCCATGTGTTTTGCAAATGACATATTTTAATAACCATGATATCTTTATGTATCTTGTCTCAAAATTGAGAACAGAGGCAAAAGAAACACAAATATATACATGCGTTGCAAATATCACACTTCTGTACAATATACTCACATAATTAAGAAAAACCTCCATTCATTTTCTTATAATTAAATTTTACTGAATTTTATCCTGTAAAAATCAGATTTAACTTTAAATTGGAACAAACCTCATGCCCACAATAAATTCCGACAGAAATTTTATTTTTATAATCTAACCATATCGGTCATTATATCACTAAGATGTTAAATTATTCTTTGATTAAAGTGAATTTGGTAATATGATTTTAAGTTAAATTACTCCCAAATTCTACCATGATTTTAGCTTAGTAGACCCTTAGGGCCTGTTTGTTTGGTGTTTTACTTTGGTGTTTTTGTTGCAGGGCTTCATTTCAGGCCCAAAAACATGTTTGGTAACACTTGTTTTGTTTTAAACAGTACAAAACATTGTTTCAAATAGTGGCCCAAAAGTGAAACACCAAAATGGTGTTTTTTGTTGTTTTAATACTGTAACCCAATAAAAAGCACTGTAGCAGATGAAACAGCCGGCCCAATTTGTTTTAGCTATATAAACATTTTAGGTCATTTTTGCATAAATTTTCTCTCTCCTCTCCCGATACTCTCTCTGCGATTCAAGGGCGATTTCCAATCGCCTCCATCTCTATTCTCGTTCTCTACTCTGAACTTGCCCAAATCTACAAGAATTAGAAGTTTAAAACCCATTTATTTCAGTTTATCTATCTGTCTGCAAGAATCAAAACCTATTATTACCTATAAATAATGCCTCCATCTCTATTCTCGTTCTCAGACCTGAACTTGCCCACTCTCTCTCTCTCTCTGCAACTGGGTCGATATTTTGATTAGGGGGTTGTATTTTTTTTCTTGCCACCCAATTTGGAGGATCGTAACCGGAGGGACAGTACAGTAGCCTAAGATTTCTTTGTGTGTTGGCGTCTTCATCATCGATGAGTTGTCTGTCAGATCGTGAAATTGTTTATCTGTTTCTTCGTGCCGCGACCTCATTCTTTGCTATCGCCGGAGTTTCCTTGCTATCGTCGCCCTGTGTTGTGTCCCTAGCTTCATCACCGGTCGTCTTTTTGCTTCATACATCGGCGCAGGTGTTTCAGTGGCTGCCGTCTTTTGTTTCTGGCCGGTAGTTGCAGCTTTCGTTGAAGAAGAAGAAGAGTGGTTGTGCGGTGTTTGGCTACAGGGGTCTGCTATCCCAAACCCAGAGAAAAAGAGAGAGTTGCAGAGTGATTTTTGAGAGAGAGAGAGAGGGGTCTACTATCCCAAACCTCGTTCTAGCATTACCTTGCAAAAATTTATATATATATATATATATATATATATATATATATATATATTTGTGTGTTCAAACATGTTTTTGTTTTTGACATATCTACAGCAAAGTATAGTTCCCAAACGTACTTTCGAATTTGTTCCAAAACACCCTACAACAAAAACATTGTTTCTGTTTTAACCAAAAACAAAACATAAAAAACAAAACGCATACCAAACGGGCCCTTAGTAGAAGCCTCTTAAGAGTTTGTTGAGAACACGAACACAATGCTGACAACCTTTCTACAAGTTTGTTGTGAAATAGTCATTTTAATTAGGGGTGTAATTTGGGTTGGCCCAACTCAGCCCAATCCGAGCCCAACCTCAACCCAGCCCAATCTGTGCCCAACCTCACGAGCGAGAGCTAGCTCCTTTTAGAGGGAGCCCAACTCAGCCCAATCCGAGTCCAACCTCAACCCAGCCCAATCTGAGCCCAACCTCACGAGCAAGAGCTAGCTCCTTTTTGAGGGAGCCGGCTCTCTCAAAAAAAGGAGCCGGCTCCCACTCTGGAAATTTGGTAGATGGGGTATTTGGGATGTTTATTTGGTTTTCGGGGGTTTGCAAAGCTATTTAGCTCGTATTGGATGTTTTAAATGAACCTAAATAATTCCCAGAATGCATAATATACAATAATATGTAATGACATGGAGGTTTATGCAATCTAATTGAGATGTAAGTTAATTACTTATTTTGTAAGTTACTTACATGTCACTTAGAATTGTTGTATATTGCTTAATTAAATGCAATAGATATTTGTATGATTATTATCATATCTATTTCTGAATTATTTGATGTACATACATGATTGCATCATTTATTGGATTGGGAACCATTGTCAGGATATAGTTTCGAATTTATGCACCATTGTCAGGATACGGGGGCATATTATGGATGAGCTGGTTAATAAGTCTAAACTCATACTTCGTGTCAGGTCACGGATTCATATGTGAATGACATGTCATTGAAGACTATGGCTGATAGTTTATTTTATTTTTAGGATAGGATATGGATTTATATATATAAATATGTGTCACGAAATGAGCTTGAGATCTCAAGATCATTAGGGAACGTATATTGCCTTGAGGATGCATAGCTGGATATAGTGGATTGTTATATACCCTGGTAGATGATGGTACTCATGCCCACTTTGCATGTGTGCATTTTGCATGTTGATTTGGCAGTTACTTTCCAAGTAACAATTCACACTTGCATTTTAATATTAGGCTTGGGGTTTGGGTTTGGTTGGGTCTCTTGTTTGGGCTTCATCTTAGGCTCTTGTTTCTCGGGTTTGTTTGCCATTGGGCTCTTGTATCTGTGGTTAGCTCTGTGCTAACCCTTAGGCTGTACAATTCCTTTTCTTTTACATTGAAATTTAACTTTCAAAAAAAAAAAAAAAAAAAGTATCAATTCACATTTGGTTCTCCATTACTTCAAATTATGTAAATACACTACTTACTTCAAATGATGTAACTACATTACTACATTGCAACAATTGCAACTTCGGGTAGGTAGATGCAAGCTCACAGTAGAAAAAAAATTCCATCAATAATAAAGGGAAAAGAGGTAAGATTGACCCTGATAAATGAGATAATCGCACATCTATTCAACAATCATGTTGCATTGAAAGTATATTCCAATGATCAAAGCTGGAATTGTCTTCTTGACATAAACACCACCGGGGCCTTGAAATAAGGGTAACCCAAAGTCAACAAGAACACATCAAGACAAGGGACTGATGTGGCGACGTGCTTCAAATCTAAAACAAATTGAAAGGAATGACTAACATAAGACCCAAAGGGCATGTTTGGTGTGGTGAATTGAATATGAATTGAATGAGAATGGAGGTGGAAATGGAATGAGAAGATAATGGAATGGGAATGATGATTCTTATTCTACCCTTTGGTTGCAAACATGGAATGTGTAAAAATGGAATGCTCATTCTCATTCCTGTGTTTGTTAAGAAAGTTGAAATTGAATGAATTTATATTGTTTCTTTAAATTACATTTTATTATTAGTAAAAAAAATTAACTAAAAAATTAATGTGCAAAAATAAAAGGGAAAGAGATAATAGAGAGAGAAAATAGACGAGAAAAAAGAAACAGACGGTTCTCGGATGACTGCAAAAATAAAAGAGAAAGAGATAATTTTCCAATCATCTTCTCCGACGACTTACAGCAAACTGGTCCAGATTATTCATAGTCGGCGCTGTTTTAGTCCACTTCATCACTGGATCATTCATGTCATGTGTATGTTGTTTTAGAAATTTTCCTATGAAATTGTCTGTTTCCTACACACCTAAAAAAGTAATGACCCAATGCCATAAACTCGTTCCAAAAGGACAGGGAGATTGCTAAGGCCTTGCTTGGATTGGATTTCAGAGAACTATTCTTGAGAACAGTTCTCAAGAATAGTTTTCAGAGAACAGTTTTCAATTTTTTCAGATTTCAAACCTGCTTGGTTAAGAGAATTTACAAAACAGTTTCCAAAAAACAAAAACTCATAAAACTACTTGGTTGTATGAGTTTTTGAAAATAGTTTTCTGAACTAAGAAAATAAATAAAAATATATTGTACCTCATTTTTTTATTTCTTTAATTTATAATATTAACTATTAATGTAAATAAGTGTTGGAGGTAAATTCATTTTAGTTACTATTCTTAACTTAAAAACAGTTACACATATACATAAATCAAGTTTAATTACATCCTCTTTCTGCATAACTCCAAAATGGAGGTTCTGTTTGGTGCTTGGGAGCAAGCTGGCGTCCAAAGATCTCTGTGAAGTCATTGAAGTGTCCTTTTGGAGTTATGCAGAAAGAGGATTTTGGAGTCCAAGTTTTGAAGTTTTGGTTAGTGTTATTGTGCAAGCTGGTGTTGAAGACATTGTTGTGTCATTTTGAATTATATTATCCTTAAGATAAGGACTTTTGTTTGTATGGTTGTATTTTGTTTTCCCTTCATGGGACTCCATGTACATTCTTCTTAAATTTAAATATAATAAAAGAGTTACATGAAACATTATAAATTAAACATAATAAAAGGTACACCAAAACAAAGTTTTCATAACATAAAACATAATAAATTGTCCCCGCACGAATATAACATAAAGTCACATGCATAGGAAAACAAAAAAAAAAAAAAAAAAAAAAACAAAAAAACAAAACAAAATAAGGCATAAGGAAATTGTTCAATAACACATAAAACTAAATATGTGTTTCAAGTCACATGCAACCAAAAACTAAACCCTGCATTCAGTAACCACCCAAGTCAGTCCAAGCTCTTCAACCAAGCAAACTTCAAGTCAGTCCAAGCTCTTCAACCAAGCAAACTTCCTGGAAATACTATCTTAATGAACAATTCTCTATAGTGCAATTCCTTGAACTTTTCAATTGCCTTCAAATATATGTCATCATCTATCTCGTCAAGACCCTCCAGGCATTCAATACAGTTACTTAGAGAGTACTGGGCTAGTTGCCTTTTGAGCATGTTTCATTTTCTTATACGACTCCTCCTTAGACGAGAATGACACAATAACGCCGGTTATTTATGAGGACAAGGATGAAAGTGACACACAGGAATCTGAAGATGCTATGGAGTCTGATGAAGAAGACGACGAACCAAATACATTCACCGAAGATGGTGATACTGAGGGAAGCGATGGCATGGACATTTGATGGACCACTAAAGACTGGTTGGTTGCACATCTAAGAACTGGATTCTGCATCGAATGTTTACAGTGAGTTGTTGTAAACTACTCGGGAAAGAATATCGACTGAAGATGCGCGATTTGGAGTTTTTTTCCATTGCAAAAATCGCCCAAGAACACCATCCAAAGCCCCTTTTGCTAAAGCTCAAGTCGAAAATAAAGGCAACAATATATCTACGAGCATCAGGAGCTTACGAGGAAGCATAAATATTCTATATTTCGTACCTCACCTGCTTTTTTTTACACCAATTTTTTGGTTATATTGCCTGTAAGCAAGACACATTTTGATGCTGCTACTGAGAAGAGACCATTTAGAGCTAAGTAGCTGTAACTTTTCCGTGCTGCTGTTTTTGAGCTTATTGAAGCAGTTTTCCCTTGCCTAACAATGTTCATATTTTAGGAATCTTTCCTATATATATATATATATAAACCAAACCCAGAACAAGAAGTTTTGATTGTCCTCTCTCAATCACAAATCTAGGATTTTACAATTTTACTCCCGTGTTCCAGAAAGAGTGTCATGTTTTGGAAACTTGTCACAGTTTCAAAACATGACACTGTGTCTGTAACTGAGAGTACTAATTGAAGGCGTCTCTCTACCCTCCTTTTTGACCTCTCTCTTCTACACATTTTTCTTGTTAATAATTTGTCGATGAGATATTTGTTACCCTGTTGGTAGACCCAGCTCCCTAACAGCTGGTTGGTTGCCAACTGGGTCCTATTGATCAAAACATGTGGGTACAAGAGTCAGGTCGGTTAAAAAGTTTCTACAAAAGTGGGTCCCCTCATTTTCTTATCTGTGCACCCACCATTCTTAATGTATAATGGCATTAGATTCATGAAATAATATCCTAACCACCATTCTTGACAGCAAGCATCTTCACCTTACAATCCACAAGCCATATCTATCTATAGTAGTGTACGTTCAAGCGCCTTCACCAAAAACACACACACACACACACACACACACAATGACACAACAGGGGTAGACATTGATTAAAGAAGATTACTGTATTACACCACAAAGGAAAGGAAGGGAAACATCTGATTGCAAGGATTCCATAACAAGTTCAAATTACAATCTTGCCCCACTCCCCTCCATTACAACAATGGAATTAAACAAAGCATTCCTCAACTATATATGAGGCTCACTTTTTTTTTTTGCCTTAAAAAAATGAAACATTAACACAACATCCAAGAACAACAACAACAACAGTCTTGGCATGTGACTTATTAATTACTACTCCTTGCTGGTGGTGGTGTCGGCCTTTTTGTCACCCTCAGTACCAGCCATGCCCAAGGTGCGCTTCACAGTATCAGCAGTATTTTGGGCCACGCTCATCACTTGCTCCCCTGTCTTCTGCAGGAACCCCCCAGTCTCATCCTTCCCGGATTGGGCCGTCTTGCAGACCGTCTCCGACATCCCCGCCGCCTTCTCCTTCGTTGCCTGGGCCACGCTCGTCACTTGCTCCCGTGTCTTCTGCAGGATCCCTCCAGTCTCATCCTTCCCGGATTGGGCCGTCCCGCGGGCCGTCCCCGCTATCTCCGCCCCCTTCTCCTTCGTTGCCTGGGCCGCTCCGCAGGCCTTCTCCTTCGCAGCCTGGCTCATCTCCGAGGTCTTCCCTTTGCCAGCCTCCGTCTGTTCAGAGAGGCAGCTTCCAGTCTGGTCCTTTCTCTCTAGGGTTCTGTCTTTTGCAAATTTGGCCGTATCTTGGACCTTGTTTATGGCTTCTTGGGCCTTCTGCTTCGTGGCGTCCATCATCTGCCCGGCCTTCTCCTGTGTATATTACATATATTAACAAAATCATCATTAAACTTGCAAATCAGACATTGACAGAGACAGAGTCCGTTACATTAAATCAAAAAAGATATTAATGTATGGCTTATACACCACACATTATTTTTAGAGGGAACATTGAATGGATGTCCGTGATAACACGTCACAACCACTAATATATCAAAAAACCTTGTCACAATGGTGCATGTACTATGCAAGATGTGCATGCACATAGAATCAAAGAATCACCATGTATGCACATGAAAGAATTATACAACATGTCATGCACACACACACATATACATATACTATACACATACATACATATATATAGATATAGTTTTACCTGAGTTTGACCCTTCACTTCGGCGGCTTTGGTGCTCTGATCTTTAGACGACATTTTCAGTGGATTGATCTTACTTTGAAGGAAATTGATCGGTGACTAACAATAGAATGGTTGAGGAAACTCTTACAGTACACAAGGTAAGCTTTGATGAAAAGAGCTGTGTTGCAAGATGCATATATATAGAGCTTTAGTGACCAGCTTTGGATCAACACGTGTCCAAATTTTCGACGCGTGTCCAGCAAACGTGTCATCCAACAGCTAACTGTACGTTGCATCCTCGATTTTGTAATTTCAAACGGAAGATCAGATCGATGACGCTACGTTACTTTATACTTGATAGCGCCACGTGGCACACTGGCATTAAGTAATGGGACCTTGTCTTATATTCCATCTTTAAGTAATCCTTCCCAGAATATGGATATAGAGAAGGAGAGGTGCAGAACAAAGGAGAACATATATATATATATATATATATATATACTATCTCCATTCCAATATGTCCAGTTCGTAAACTGTTTGCACCCCTTGTTGCTCTCAAAAGATTTGTGGCCCATGTGTTTTGCAAATGACATATTTTAATAACCATGATATCTTTATGTATCTTGTCTCAAAATTGAAAACAGAGGCAAAGGAAACACGAATATATACATGCATTGCAAATATCACACTTTTGTACAATATACTCACATAATTAAGAAAAACCTCCATTCATTTTCTTATAATTAAATTTTACTGAATTTTTATCCTGTAAAAATCAGATATAACTTTAAATTGGAACAAACCTCATGCCCACAATAAATTCCGACAGAAATTTTATTTTTATAATCTAACCATATCGATCATTATATCACTAAGATGTTTTCAGTCGATTAGATTCCTAACGCTGAAATTTAAATTATTCTTTGATTAAAGTGAATTTGGTAATGTGATTTTAAGTTAAATTACCCCCGAATTCTACTATGATTTTAGCTTAGCAGACCCTTAGTAGAAGCCTCTTGAGAGTTTGTTGAGAACACGAACATATTGCTAACGACCTCTCTACAAGTTTGTTGAGAACACGGTTAAATAGTCATTTTAATTAGGGGTGTAATTTGGGTTGACCCAACTCAGCCTGATTCGAGTCCAATCTCAACCCAGCCCAATTTGAGCCCAACCTCAGGAGTGAGAGCCAGCTCTTTTTTGAAGGAGCCAGCTCCCACTTTGGAAATTTGGTAGATGGGGTATTTGGGGTGTTTATTTGGTTTTCGGGGGTTTCCAAAGCTATTTAGCTCGTATTGGATGATTTAAATGGACCTAAATAATTCCCATAATGCATAATATACAATAATATGCAATGACATGGAGGTTTATGCAATTTAATTGAGATGTAAGTTAATTATTGTTTTGTATGTTAATTATATATTACTTAGAATTGTTGCATATTGCTTAATTAAATGCAATAGATATTTGTATGATTATTATCATGTCTATTTCTGAATTATTTGATGTACATACATGCTTGCATCATTTATTGAATTCGGAACCATTGTCAGGATATGGTTTCGAATTTATGCACCATTGTCAGGATATGGTTTTGAATTTATGTTCCATTGTCAAGATACGGGGGCATATTATGGATGAGTTGGTTAATAAGTCTAGACTCATACTTCGTGTCAAGTCACGGATTCATATGTGGATGACATGTCATTGAAGACTATGGCAGATAGTTTATTTTATTTTTAGGATATGATATGGATTTATATATATAGATATGTGCCACAAAATGAGCTTGAGAACTCAAAATCAGTGGTTAGAGAATGTATATTGCCTTGGGGATGCATAGCTGGATATAGTGGATTGTTGTGTGCCCTGGTAGATGATGGTACTCATGCCCACTTTGTGTGCGTTTTGCATGTTGCCTACTATCCGGTTAAGTCTGCCTATAGTCCAGTGAGAGTCCTTTAGTGTGTATGTACTTATATATACGGACTATGTAGCTAATGTATGAATTGACTATGATGTATTCATGTATCGGGTCTCTGTTTGGGATATAGTATAAATGACTTGTTCATTGGTCTGATCCGTAATTATTTTTCAGATATTCGTCAGTATTAGGCTTAGAGATTGTTCGTGCAAAGTAGAGACCAGTCTTCATCACTCTTCCGATTATTTATGTAGGATTCAACTTCATTTTTCAGTATTTAGTTTTAGACCTTTATTCATGTTATTTATTTTTAGTTTAGATTTATTAGGGATCCACATGTTATGGATTTCCGAGTTGTATTCTAGAGAATTATTTGTATCAGAGATAATTATCATTTAATGAATTTTATTCTTGGAGGATTTAATTAATTAATTATTATTTAGTTTTCTTTTCAGCTTCAATTATTTATTTTTTATTATCCTTCTGTATTTTGTGTTCGTTTATTACCTAATTGTTTTTTATATTCCTTGGTTTTGTGCGCGGACCTGATTAACCTGTACTTTGGAATCGAAGGGTATCATAAATGGTGTGTGTAGAGTGTGAGACAGATAAATGTGTAACTACTTGCATACAGCTAGTAGAGCTTATTATTGGCTAATGCTAAAAACTAAACTTTTCCCCTATTGACAGGGGATCTTTGTATATCTTGTGTTCAATGCCTTATATGGTTTGGTTGATATTGCTGTGAACTTGAAGAAATTTAATTTCCAATTCACTCCTTTCTTAGTCTAACATTTACCCTTATAAAGTTGCAGTAATAAAACTAAGAGTAATTTACACAGAATTGCCTTGAATTTGTCATAATTACACAAACCCCCCCTATAATTTTAAAACTAATATGACTTCCTCTAAAAACAAACCTTATAACGCAACCTCCTTTTTTTAACAGTCAACGATAATCCACGACGAAAATTGCTCACGTCATACAACTTTGAATAATAAATTACAAAGTTGCCTTTATATCAATTGTAAACAAAAACATCTAATCTTGTGTTTATATAACTATGTACATAAATATTACCGAGTATATATATAGAGTAGTGTTCAATTACTCCCTGGGAGAAATAAATTATATACTCATTTTTAATTGTAGCCTTAGGATATGGCAATTAGTTAATTGACTTTTATTTTTTTCATATGAAAAATTACAGAATTAGACAATTTATTAAAGAAAACAATAATAAAATAATTTGGCTACTTTTTGCCAAATTCGCAAGTAGCTATTGAGACGAAGTAAAATTAATCAAAAATTAAAAGTCATCATTTTTAGTTTTTTTCCACACTTAATTATTGATAAATTATGAAAAAACTTAGGATTTGCAATGATATTATACATATTTTGGCATGCTTTTACCGATCAACACTTTGAATATTTAATTTACCAAAAAAATAAAAAATAAAAAAATACTGAGAACATTTAGATGGATATATAATAGTATATTAAAAGTTGTTTTGCAGGATCTTTCTAAAAAATTTATGAAGCCAATAGTAGTCTCCTAATTCTAAATTAGTTACTGAAGAAATTCAAAATATTTTATTAAGCTGAGTATAAAAAATAGATCAATCTTGAAATTTGAGTTTTGATTATAATCAAAACTTCTCAAGCAATCTTTATTTAATGGCCATTTTATTTGGTTTCTGTTGTTGCTTGCAAATTTGTTGAATAAACTTTGTTGAACAAACAATCGGTAGTGATGGGGAAGTGTTTTTTTATTGGACAGAGAAACCCGACAAATTAGTAGCCAAATTATTTTATTTTTGTTTCCTTTAATAAATTGTCTAATTTTGTCATTTTTCTTTAACGGTATTTAATGGTATAGAAAGAAAATGTAAGTTTTTTAAAATGAAGAAAATAAAAATTAATTAATTAATTGCTATATGATTAGATCCTAAGGCTACAATTAAAAGTGAGCATATGATTTTTTATTTTCAAAGAATAATTGAACACTACTTTATATATATATATATATACGCGCCCGCACACATTAATTTAAGAACATAAGTTATTACCAAAATCTTGAGGTATGTTTGGTTGCATGAGCTTATTTGAGTAATATTTTGAATTGGAATTGAACAAAAATTAATTTAAAAAATTTAACTAAATTTTACCGATTCAAATTTAAAAGTACAAATCCACCCAACCTTAAAAGTACAAATTCACCCAACCGAACATAGCTTGAGTTCTGCTCAATTTGGATCTAAAATTAGAAGGCCCTAATTTTTTTGCAATCTAAATTAAAAGGCCGTAATTGACTCGATTGAGATTTAAATAGGGAAAAATTAGCCCTATCGTTGGCTAACAGTGTCCGGCTATACTTGAAACACTCATCCCAAGGCAAAGTACAATGACAATAGTTCATAAAGAGACCTTATCTTTTACTTTCCAAGTAACAATTCACACTTGCATGTTAATATTGGGGATGATGGGGTTTGAGTTTGGTTGGGCCTCTTGTTTGGGTTTCATTTGGGCTCTTGTTTCTCGGGTTTGTTTGCCCTTGGGCTCTTGGTTAGCTATATGCTAACCCTTGGGCTGTACAGTTCCTTTTCTTTTATATTGAAATTTAACTTTCAAAAAAAAAAAAAAAAAAAAAAAAAAAAAAAGTATCAATTCACACTTGGTTCTCCATTACTTCAAATTATATAAATACACTACTTACTTCAAATGATGTAAATACACTACTCCATCAATAATAAAGGGAAAAAAGGTAAGATTGATGCACAACTAGAGACCCTGATAAATGAGATAATCGCACATCTTTTCAACAATCAGGTTGCATTGAAAGTATATTCCAATGATCAAAGCTGGAATTGTGGAATTGTATTCTTGACAGAAACACCACTAGGGCCTTGAAATAAGAGTAACCCAAAATCAACAAGAACACATCAAGACAAGTCAACAAGAACAAATCAAGACAAGGGACCGTGCTTCAAATCTAAGGGCATGTTTGGTGTGGTGGAATGGAATGAGAAGATAATGGAATGAGAATGATGATTCTTATTTTACCTTTGGTTGCAAACAAGGAATGTGTAAAAATGAAATGTTCATTTCCTGTGTTTGGTAAGAAAGTTGGAATGGAATGAATTTATATTGTTTCTTTAAATTACATTTTATTATTAGTAAAAAAAATTAACTAAAAAAATTAATCTGCAAAAATAAAAGGGAAAGAGATAATAGAGAAAGAAAATTGACGAGAAAGAGAAAATAGAAGAGAAAATAGAAACAAAGGGCTCTCGAACGACTGCAAAAATAAAAAAGAAAGAGATAATTTTCCAATCATCTTCTTCAACAAACTGGTCTAGATTATTCATAGTTGCCGCCGTTTCAATCCACTTCATCACTGGATCATTCATGTCATGTGTATGTTATTTTAGAAATTTTCCTATGAAATTGTCTATTTCCTACACCTAAAAAAGTAATGACCCAATGCCATAAACCCGTTCCAAAAGGACAGGGAGATTGCTAAATTTCTCCAGTGATGGAATTGGATTCCTAAAACAACATACACATGACATTTCATTTTTCTCCAACAGATGAAGACCATAATTATTATAACATTAGAGACCAAAAAATAATAAAATTAATAAATAAATAAATTATTATTGCTAGACAATGACTAAGAAAGTTGCATAAGCTCATAGAAGTTCAATTACACTGTTTTTGTCTCACCCTTGTGTGTGTAAATCGGAAAGGGGAAACAAACTGCATATAGATACATATTATATATATTATATAGTGTGTATGCGTGAAGGGAGAGATGGTGAGAGAAGGGACGCACAGGTTTGTGTGAACACAAGGCAAATGATATTTTTTGTCTTTAAATTACTTTATTAATTTGGTGAGAATGAAATGGTCATTTCACATTTCAAGAAGAGGAATGGGCATTCCCTAAGAATGTCTCGAAATGGCCATTCCACTTTTAATATGACACACAAAAACAAGAAAATGAAAACAAAAGCATTTCATTCCAGCTTCATTTAATTCCATTCACTCACACCAAACATGGCCTAAAGGAAATGAATTCAACAATCCATTGAACATCCCATTGTTTGCACGACAAGAAGATTATAGAATACATTAATAGCTAATTTTTATAGATTTTGAAGCTATAGCCAATCAAAAAAACCAAAAAAAAAAAAACTTGAATTAATATAATTGCACCAAAACTGGAAGGAAAAGAGATATATATACACACACACACACACACTTGACCATCTCATCACCATTCACTAGAAGGAGCATGCATAAATATATAGATGCAATATGGTAAAATATGCATAAACCCATGGACACATTCATTAATGAAACATAGACACATGATGATAAGGACTAACCTGCCACATATCATCTAAGAAACACCCTAATTAGTAAAGGAACTATCCACCACGAAATTCTCATTTTGCTCCCCAACCGGCAAGGGATAAAACCAAAACTAATAACAGATGATAATGGGAAAGTTTTTTATATAGCAAAAAAATATACTCAGAACTAAGCCATATGAAACAAATTTACACAATACACTGAAAGGAGCAAATTTTCAAAGATGAGTCACAGGTTCAGTAACAATCAAAGAACTACCCATTTTCTATTACAAACAAAAATTTCGAGGGTTGCCTGTCACAGCCACAATTGTAACATAATCATCGAAAAGATCAGCAACTTCAAATTCCGTGTGATATTTAATTCCTGCAAAATGGTAGGGTGAAACAAAACTCCCAGTAAGAATAACAAATGTTCCTAAGGAATGGAATAACTCGAACTAGTGTTCCTAAGGGAATTCATATACAAGAAAGGCATGCTTTACAAGAATAGAGATATATGCAAGTCCAAGTGGAACAAGAACTTGGAACAATGTGGCTGAAAGATAATAAAATAGGAACAAGGAACAAATCATACTTTTCAACATATAACCCATAATCTCATAACATGACAAGAAGGAAAACAATTTCAAATTTTAGGGCAATTCATGTGCAACACTTGCAATGGACACTTTCCTGGTAAAGCATAGAGATTAAGAAAAGAAAACACACATAGTAACCCAAGTTAGAGAAACCCTACTTGATTGAGCCTGATGATGATGGTGATGAATAACATGAGATGGTGAATATGCATGAGACCCTACAGTCCAGCCTTGGTTCCTCCTCCTCCCTTCTTCTACTCCTCTCTCTCTCTCTCTCTAAACTCTCACTAGCTCTCACCACCCTCTCTGTTGGCTTCTTTTGAGTCTCAAATGTTGCATGGAATGTGAAAGAGAAAGCTGGGTGTATGCAGAGTCTTAGGGGTTGAAATGTCTCTAGGTGTTTGGTAAGGAGAAGATACATGTCCCTTGTGTTAGCTGAATTCCAATCTAATCCCCAACATGATTTCACATTCAACCTTTTTTCTCTCAGAGAAGAGAGAAAAAAAAAAAAATCACATGTTGCCCCCAAACATTTAACCCCCACTTTTCTATTAAATCACACCAAGAACCTAATTAAATCACCAAAATCTCCCAACCAAATAATATACAGAATGTCTTTAAAATCAAAAATAAAAAATTAATTCAACAAAAGTAATCAATCCTAAAATAATGATTAAAAGTCAAATAAAAATAATCAGTTACTGAAAAGGCTATATGTCATTACACATATACATCTGAATCAAAAAGAGAGTTACCATATCTAAAAGTCAGTTGAACTGAGAAGTTTCTTAATTGTCGACCTGTAAAATATTGAGATTATGTTAATTAAATACAATCTAATTAAATACTTTATATGAACTAATAATAGAGGTTTAGAGCATTACCCGAATGAATCCATCCCTACGGTTTTGTACTGCATGCCATACTTTATGCCATCCCTGCCCAGAGAGACATAGTTAAATAGTCCTTGAGCTCAGGAATGGGAAATCTTAACTCTCTTTCCATTATGTTACAAAATTTTTCATCCGTGGTCACTTGTTTGTCATGATAATGAAAAGCCCATCTCTATATAGCTTGACCAAATCAGCCATAGCAATGCACTCAGCAGTACATTGTTGATATTTTCCATAATAAGAAACTCCTCCTCCTTCATTATGTTTTAACACTTGCTTTAGTCCACTGTTATTGTTTTTCACCTCCTCCCATCCCTCCTTATTTTTGGAACCATTCTGGTTTTCGGATTTGAAATATTGGGGTAAAGGGCAGTTTAGACCAGTAAACGCGTCATCGTCGTCATTAGTATCTATTTTCCAGATTTTTCACACAAACCTATTCTTCTAGATAGGAGTCCAAAAATAGGAGTCTTCTATGACCCATTCATACTATTCCTTGTAACCATATAACAAAAAAGAAAACATAAAAAAGTAAGTTCATACTTAGAAGATTATTGAACATCAATAATTTTTTATTAGGAGAAACAAAATTTCCTTCTTACTTTGCCGTGGGTGGCCTATTTCTCTTCAGCTCCCAGAGGAAAAAATCTAAATCACCGGACAGTGGCAAGTCATAAGGCCCGGGAGGGTAAGATCTGGATTGATCCTTCATATTCATTTGGTCTCTACATAAGAATTTGACCATAAGTTTCCATAGTGTCCGTAGATCATCATTCATCACTTTATCATTGTATTCTCCTGGTGTAGCCAGGAGTAGTTTGGCTTCAATCGCAGCAGTATTGCTCCACTTAAACACAATTCTGTTTTCAAGTTTACCATGACATTGTCCCTTAGAGAACAATGTCTTCAATCCGTTTTTCACTCCCCTGTTTCAAGAAGATAAATAAAATAGAGATTGATTATACAATGAAGTGATAGCTAATTTAACAAATATATTCAGAGAATCTCTGTAATTGGTAGTCAAATTACAAAGGTGTACTCAGTAGCTAATTGAAACCAAACAAATATCATTTCGTAAAAAGCTCTAAATTTCTATTAAATAAAAAATAAAAAATAAAAAATAAAATTCTCAATCAAAGAAAGTAGTAATATACTATAATCAATTAAAGAGATGACAGTCATATACTATAATCAATTAAAGAGATGACAAAAAAAAAAAAAAATTGTGTTCACCAAAGATCCTCCAAAATCTAGAATGCATGTGGTTGAACCAGAAGCTTTCTCTTTGTTTCAATGTGAATCGTGCTTTTTGTTTAGGATTTAGATTTTTTCCTCCGGGAGCTGAAGAGAAATAGGCCACCCATGGCAGAGTAAGAAGGAAATTTTGTTTCTCCTAATAAAAAATGATTGATGTTTATTATCTTCTAAGAATGAACTTACTTTTTTATGTTTTCTTTTTCGTGATATAGTTGCAAGGAATACTATGAATGGGTCATAGATGACTTCTAGTTTTGGACTCCTATCCAGAAGAATAGGTTCGTGAGAAAAATCTGAAAAATACATACTAATGATGACGATGACGCGTTTGCCGGTCTAAACTGCCCTTTACCCCAATCTTTCAAATCCAAAAACCAGAATGGTTCCAAAAATAAGGAGGGATGGGAAGAGCTGAAAAAACAATAACAGTCTACTAAAGCAAGTGTTAAAACATAACGAATGAGGAAGAGTTTCTTATTATGGAAAATATCAACAACGTACTGCTCAATGCGTTGCTATGGCTGATTTGGTTAAGCTATACAGAGATGGGCTCTTTCATTATCATGACAAACAAGTGACCTCAGATGAAGAATTTTGTAACATAATGCAAAGAGAATTTAGATTACCCATTGCTGAGCACAGGGACTCTTTAACTATGTCTTTCTGGGACGGGGACGGCATAAAGTATGGCATGTAGTACAAAACCCTAGGGATGGATTCATTCCTACTCTATCGTGGGTGGCCTATTTCTTTTCAGCCCCCGGAGGAAAAATCTAAATCATTGGACAGTGGCAAGTCATAAGGTCGGGGAGGGTGGGAGCTCTCACATCCAGATTGATCCTTCATATTCATTTGGTCTCTACATAAGAATTTGACCATAAGTTTCCATATCCGTAGATCATCTTCCATCACTTTATCACTATATTCTCCTGGTGTAGCCAGGAGTAGTTTGGCTTCAATCCCAGTAGTATTGCTCCACTTAAGTGTGATTCCGTTTTCAAGGATACCATGACAATGTCCTTAGAGAACAATGTCTTCAGTCCGTTTGTGACACCCCTGTTTCAAGAAAATAAATAAAAAAGAGATTGATTATCCACTGGAGTGGTAGCTAATTTAACAAATATCTCCAGAGAATCTCTGTAATTGGTAGTCAAATTACAATGGCGGACCAGTAGCTAATTGAAACCAAACAAATATCATCTGGTAAGAAGCTCTAAATTTCTATTAATTAAAAAAAAAAAAAATCTCAATCAAAGAAAATAGAGTCATACTATAATCAATTAAAGAGATGACAATCATATACTATAATCAATTAAGGAGATGACAAAAGAATAATTGTGTTTACCAAAAGATCCTCCAAAATCTAGAATGCATGTGGTAGAACTAGAAGCTTTCTTGAATCGTGCTCTTTGTTCCGGTGTGTATTGCTAGTTTAGTTCCTTTGTGAATTCTTTGTTATGCTCAATAAAAATGTCCAAAGTGGAATGAAATTCTTCTAGAGCCATACTACCGTGTGGTACCTGGCTACTGATGAAGTGATAATCTACGATGAAATCTGACTTGTATTGTTTTATCTTGTCGCAATCTCGGTCGGCTTCGGCAAGGTTCGCTTCAAGGTTATCGCTGGTATTGTACAATACCAGCCCAACTTTGCGGGGAACATGGGTACCCAACTTGGATTCCCCGAGGTGTAAAAATTGGTATTGCAAGTCAGCTATGTCAGTGTTGACGCTTACAACTGCCATTTCTCCGGCAATATCTGAGGAGAAAAAAATTTCTAGGGTTTTAGTAATGAAAAAGAATACAAGTTTCAAAAGCACCGAGGGTTTTGCAGTTTTGAAAACTATGTATATAGAAATCTAAAAATGAAACAAAAACTAAAATTACCAAAATAAATTGAAAACAAAAAACGAAAAAATTACTAAATAGCAATATCTATATATATACCCAAGGGAAAGACGAAAGATGAAGAAATATTTACAGGTAGACAATGAAGAAGCAAAATTAAAAACTGAAACACTGCTCAATCATTTTCTCCACTCTTATTCGTTTTTTTAAAAGAGAAATAGTACCAGCTTTTCCAGGAAAAATAAATCCTTCTGGTTATCGTCAAAAGAAACAAACATTTATTGACCTCAGCTGCTACACAAGGGCAGATTCAGGATTTCTCAATGGGGTGGGCTAAATCAAAATATATCTAATTCTAAGTATAAAGTTAAAAACATATATATATATATGTATGATATACGTTAGTATCATATTAGATTAGTAAAGTAAGTTATAAATATATAATATTAATTATTGTCTCTGTCTGTAACTTTGAGTGCATCAAAGCTTTCCATTTCATTGTTGTACACTTCCGAGATCCAATGCATGAAACAAGCCAACTCAGAGCTTTCCATTTCATTGTTGTACACTTCCGAGATCCGATGCATTAAACAAACCAAAAGCTCACAACCCTATCGTTGGTTCACAGTTGTCGTACACTTTTGTGCCCCCAATCTCTCTCCTTATATCTTTCTCTTTACAAGTCTATATCTACAGAAGTCTCCCATGCCAATATTAGTCAAGACTCATAGGTAACGACTCAGAGAACTTATTTTGTCCTAAGTTGGGTAATTCTTATTGGTGGACTCTCTCTTTCACTTCTGTGTCTTTGTTGTTTCAATTTCAACATTTCCTTTGTGAATGTTCAAACTGATAAAGTTCAATTAAAATTGCATAGGGTCTTCTTTTTCGCAGATAAAATTAGGGTTTAGAGAGATGAAAAAGAAGAGAGCCCAAATAGATGAATCATATTACACACCATTGTTTCAGAATTTCAGGAACTGAAAAATTGTGTGTGAACTGACCAAAGATTCTTGTAACTAAAAGAATTAGACACTATGCTCAATAGTATGTCTTTAACTCTAAATTTCCTTCAATTCTAAGAATTAGACACTATGCTCAGTATGTCTTCAACTATAAATTTTCTTCAATTCTAAGTGCTTTCAAACAACAGACTTAATTTGAGTGCATCAACATATATGACAGAAGTAATTAACATCCTCATCAACACTTGTCAACATCATTAGTCATCATCACTAGAGCATTAGCATCCTCATCTAGAATCACGTAATCATGTTCCATAGATATACATTTGATTAAGAAGAATTGTCATCTAGAATCACGTAATCCTGTTGCATAGATATACATTTGATTAAGATAAACTGAAAAGAGACTTCCTATCATAATTGGTTATTTTAAAACCAACATCACTGCTACAACAATAAGGGGATTTATATAATTCAATTAGCTAGGCAAAAAAACATACCTAATTTCTTTTTCCCTACTCCACCCATTCCCAATCAACTCTCTTCTTTCGGAAAAGAGACCTATATTATTAGGACAAAAGATAAAAAGTTTTAAAAGCGTTAATAGACTTGTAAAACATATATTCTGAAATTAAAAACTGAACTTCCAAGTCTTTAATTCCCATTGATAAATTGTTCGAGCATCACATCATAACAATATTATATATATGCATGTAGAAACAAAAAATTAGTAAGTAAACTATGAATAAATAAACATAACCAATAGCTAAAAATGCTAATTAAAATTGTAGAAAAAGTAAGAGTTTGTTACCAGATGACTAAGGAGGCATGTTTCTTGAACCTTGTTCTTGCTAAATGTTAAGGCCCGATGCTAACCCTAAAAATAAGAAAACACTCAAGTTATGAGGAAGAGGTTTCACAATCTCACTCATAACAATTAAAACACCACCATCTAAGTACTATCTGTATTATGTATCAACCCAACCCAACTATGCTTTCAGTCAAATTGTTGGACACCTATCTGTAGAAAGAGGTGTAATTACGGATAGGTGTGATTAGCACATATTATACTCAGCTCTTATGTTAAATTAATCCAATAACAAAGTACAATGCATCAGTTTAGGAATAATCTTCAAAATTAACAAATCAATATCCTGATATTCTGCATTCTAATAACAAAATAAAATCAAAACCTAAATTTGAAAATAAAAATATGACAGAAAGATTGAATATATCTTTCGTGCATTGCACAGATTGTATTTCGATGTGAAACAAAACATTATTAGTAGGGCGGATCCAGGATTTCTCAATGGGGTGGGCTAAATCAAAATATATCAACCAAAATCAACTGTTGTTTAATTCAATTTTAGTTAACTAACAATGTTTCTTTAGACAATTGACAGATTAAGGCATAGAAAATCCTATTTGGGTAATTAATTAAAAAAAAAATTACCAATTTATTTCCGAACAATTCACCGCTCATACCCTATCTCTTCTTTTGATCAATTTGCTAATCCTATTTGAGAATCTACTAGTGGAAGCAGAGTGTGAGGTAGTTCATGGCAAGCCACTATGGAATTCACTCAAAAGCATGCTTTTTGTAAGTATTTTAATTTTCAAGAAGTAACTTTAGAGCTTTACAGTATATTAAGTACTTTTGCTTGTCAAAGTTCTTGTTATGATTTTTTTTTTTAGTTCTGAAAAGATTTCCATCTTCAAAAAGCTTGGCATGTCGATAAAAATTGTTTCAGATTCAATCTCTGCAGATTTCCAATCCAGTTCAATCCAATTCAGATTGTATTTTTCATGGCCAGATTCAAATTTTCTTGTAGACATAATTGACAACAAAAAACAAAAAACAGAAATAGAAGTAATAGAAATAAAAAAATTTTTTTTTTTGCTGAATTAAAACGTAGATTACGGTGCTTACCTCAAAATGCAATGCAATGATTACCTCAAAATGCAATGCAAAATTTGTTACTTTATATAGTAAAAAAAAAAAAAAAATCTATAAAAAAGATCATAAAAAATTTCACCAAATAGGATTTAGCTTGCAAAACAAGAATTACAGACCTTGATTAGTTGATTTAGAAAAAAAAAAAATTTAAAACAAAACCCATACATACAAGTTAGCAGTAGCAGAGAGAGAGGCGGGCAAGCTTGAGAGTTGAGAGACAGCGGGACAGCGGCAGAAGCTTTCGAACGGCGAACCCGAACTGGAACAGCGGGCTATGGAAACTGAAAGATTTGGGTTTTGATTTTTTGAACAATCTGAATTGATATGCCGATATGGGTTTTGATTTTTTGAACAATCTGAAATGATATGCCGATATGGGTTTTGATATAGGTAATAGGTTTTGAACTTTTGATTCTTGCAGACAGATAGATTAACTGAAATATATGGGTTTTGAACTTCTGATTCTTGTAAAGTTTGTAGTTTGCAGTTGCAGAGAGAGATAGAGGGCAAGTTCAGAGTTGAGAACGAGAATAGAGATGGAGGCGATTGGGGAGGCTGAAATGATTTGCCCTAAAATTTTTTATCTTTTTTTTTTCTGGAGGCCCATCATCTATGGGCCTATAAATTTTGAGCCCCATATATTTTGAGGACCTAGTCGACCTCCTTTGTTGCCTTGGGTCAGGGCCGGCCCTGGGCTTATTTGGAATAGGCCTTTATTTTAGTATGGTAGCTGAGTTGACTTAGGCTTGATTGGATGGGCCAAAATTAGTATAGTATTTTTTTTTGGTGGGCTCAAGCCCACAAGAGAGCCCACTCCTACACTTGCTGCTAGATCAAGTATTTCATTCCAGTACTGATTGAGTGATTGGTATGTAAGAAAACCATAAATTAAACACTAGACTCAGCGCATTAGACAGTTTTAGAAGAAACCAAAGCAAAGCTTTGTGTGTGTGTGTATATTATTTTCCTTGCACTTTCTCAGCAACCAAACAAAGCCTAATAAGAATAACAGTTTCGGAAGAAAATGAACTCGTACTAGCTCCTCACTGTATATATAGATCGATATTTCTTTTTCTTTACATTTTCTCAGCAACCAAACATAGATTAATAAGCATGTACTTTCACAAGAAAATGAACTCATGCTAGCAACATTAAAATTTCGAAGCTATATATCTATAGATACTTTTTTTTTTTTTCTTGCACTTTCTCACCAACCAAACACAAATGGACAGTTTCAAAAGCAAATGAACTCACCCAAATTTCCAGATGGATTAGATCTAACCAAACCTCCAAAACTTGTATATCAACTGTTTCATTCCAGTACTGTTTGGTATGTAAGAAAAGCATAAATTAAAACGGAAAGAAAATGTGTACTCTACTCTTTCATTTTCAATAGATAACACAGTTGAGAGAGAGGGGGGGAAAAAAAACACTAGACTCAACGCATTAGGCAGTTTTAGAAGAAACCAAACAAAGCATAGACCAGTTAAGCTGTGTGTGTGTATATATATCCTTCAATCAAGATCACTCTACGGAACTAGTTGGGTTCGCAAGGAAGGCATTGCTTATATATTTATTGATTTTTTTTTTCTTGCACTTTCTCACCAACCAAACACAAATGGACAGTTTCAAAAGCAAATGAACTCACCCAAGTTTCCAGATGGATCAGATCTAATCAAACCTGCAAAACTTGTAGAGAAGCCACCGATTAATCTCTCTCTAGCAAACTAAGCTCCTCACTATTCTGGGCGATTTGGGTCCTTGAGGTAAGAGATGAGAGAGAAAGGGAGAGAGAGGGAGAGAAATTTTTATGAAATTTTGGTAAGAAGGATCTGGAACGTTTTCCCACAATATAAAGCTTATTTTTTAAAGTTCATTTGTTGAACAATAATAAATAAATAAATAAAAATTATTCTTTAAGGCATATGTGATATACATGTGGGAGTAAAAAAACCAATTTTGGTGTTATAAGCCTTATAAGTTATAACCTTTGGTCTCTTCTCAGGACGTGTCTCCGCGAACGCATCAAGTGTAATTCAACTCCGTCATTATTTAATATCGGGATCGGTTCGATTCTATAAATTATACCTATTAAAATAATATACTATATACATATTAAATTAAAAATAATCATAAAATACTAATATAGTATATTACATATATATATATATTTAATTTAATTGAGCTTAGCCGATCACTTAACTGTCTGATTGGTTTCTCGAACCTCAATAGGTTCCCTATGTATTATTTAGTTCATCAAAGGGTTACCGAATTGTAATAAAATAAAATATTAAAAATAAAATAAAATAAAAAATATTAAAAAAAAACAATTATAAAAGTTCATTACGAAGTGCGGCTTTTCAAAGGATCTTCTCCCAAAAGCTGTCAAGTCCTACTCTCTCTTTCGACGTCATGTTCATCATCCAACTTCTTGTTATGTTCATCTTTTTTTTTTTTCAATATGTATTTTAGCTTCTATATCAATTTTGGGGATTTAATTAAAAATATATATATAAAAAAAAAAATTCAAAAGTTCATTACGAAGTGGGAACGCGAAGAAGATAAATAGAGAAATAAGAGACATTGAGATGAGTTGTCAAAATCTCTTAAACTTTTTTTAATATTATTTTTGATATTTTTAGTCATAAATAAAATATTAACTATTTAAATAATTACAGTTACATATAAAATTGAATAATAAGCCAATTTGTTTCGACATATTATCGTTACTCTTGTATGTAATATGATATACAGAGTTGTTAATGATCCTTTAAATGACACACTCTCTCCCTCTCTCTCTCTCTCTATATATATATATATAGGGTAAAGTGTATAAAACCCTGCTGAACTTTCAGGCAAATGCACAAATTCCCCTGAATTAACAGGTGCCTCCTGAACTATGATAAAGTTGCAGTTAAGGACCTCAGGTGAGGTTTCCGGCAGGAAAAAGAGGATTACAATATTACCCTTAGTGAAACTACGTCGTATTAACTCAACTCTTAACCATCCAATAAAATTGTGACCTTATCACCTCATCCTTGTCACCGCCAAACACGGCCTTATACGCAAGGCTTTCTCTCTCTACGCTTTATTTTTCCCGTCGACCAAAAAGGTTTCGCCTGGTTTATATGATGCTCACCAAAAAGGTTTGTCGGCTGTATCTGTGTGTTCACCGGAATGAGACTTCACTGGTTTGCTCGATCATGGAATTTGAGGTTGGGCTCTCGCCGGTTTCACTGCTTGTTGATTTGTAGAGCTTCTCATCGGCGTCGGCAGTCATGGAGTTTGAGGTTTGGCTCTCACCGGTTTTAATGGAAAAACCTTCATTTTGATTGGAGTGGCCGGAAACAGTCCCAGTGTTATCTCCTTTGGCGGGCACTGTGCCAGCCTTCAATTCTCTCTTGCTATTCACAAGATCGTCGTCTCTTTAAATTCGTCACATAATCATTTGTTAACTTATTATCTCTCTAAATCGATCAATTACTGAGTTGGAACTCATACAAACACTTCGATCTTGGGAATACAGGATAAACCAAAAGACTGATTGTATCAATTTATAGGATGTAGGCCATGGTGAGAACGTGGTGGTGCCGACTCAGAGCTCCATCGTCAAACTGATGTCACGCTTGGTGAGTTTGAAACACTCCAACTCTGCTCCCGGCAACGAATTAGTTCAACCAAATCAGTTGTTCTCAGTTTTGGATGCGATGTCGGCGTGTCGCGGTTGTTCCGTTCTCAATCTACATGAAAGATGGAAGGAGGTGCAGTTGCAATAGAGTACGCAACTGGGGAAAATATATGTGTGTGTGTGTGTGTGAAATTGAGAGAAAGGTTAAGGTTTGTTTGTGATGGTTACTTGGCTGGTGATTTGGTAGGGATAGGGTTCCAACTTCCAACAGAAATTTGGGGTCAATTTGGTGGTGGTTTCAATTTGCAGATTTGGGTTTTGTTTTATTTTGTTATGTGTTGTATAGGCAAACAAATAATCTCTCTGAATCGATCAATCACTGAGTTTAAACTCAGAAAAACACTTCGATTTTGATGATAGTTGATTTGGAGCCTGAGTTGTACGATCAACAGAGATAAACTCAATAGGCAGCAAAGACTGATTATAATCTCTCTAAATCGATCGATTACTTGGGTTTAAACGGAGATCTCGGTCCTAGCAGTGTTTCTTCTTCGGTGAGGCCCAATATTTTTCTGAGATTTTGGTAAGTTTATTCCCCTAATTTGGGTAAGTTTCTACTCTTTTGGGTTGGATAAGGTCAATTGAGATTTTGGTGAGTTTGTTCAGTTCTCGATTTCCATAAAAGATGGAAAGAGAGGCTTTCATGGAAAGAAAGGTGGAGTTGCAACAGAGTACGCAACCAGGGAAGATATATTCATGTTTGTATTACAGTCTACAACATGTGTGTATGTATATAAGGGTAGGATTGTCATTTTGAATTTACACTATATGCCACGTGACTATTTTCCGGCTAAAATACAACGGAACAGTGTGATTTGGACTTTTTTTTGCATAAATTGGGATAATTTAGAGGGTTTTCTGTTAAAAAAAAAAAAGTTTAGAGAGGTTTTTTAGGAAAGAGGGTAAAGTTCAGAGGAAATTTTTGCACTTTACCCATATATATATATATATATATATATATATATATATATATAATGACAATGCGGATGAGACATTTAAAGAGAGTGGACCTAATGCATTTGAGGACAAAGAGACTCCAGCTTTTCCGGCTTTTCCTCGTACCACACTGCTATCCTGGTGTGTACACATTTAATGGAATACTAGCTAAACCAACAAAAATCTCTTTATTCACCAAAAGAGTAGGAATACTGGTCAGATTTATTGGCATAGAAAGTGGGTCTATCCTATCCCATGCAACAGGCTGCTAAAGACGACGACCGGACCAGTGAACAAGATACATATGTGGTTTATGATACATATACGTGTATATATCACACCCCCAAATGATTTTTTAATTAACCTCACTCTGGGACCAAAAAAAAATTACTCTTTAAACTCTAGCACATAACCACAAATTAGATCTCATCAAAGTACTTATGAATTTTTTTTTTTTTCAAAACCCCTCAAAACTTCACATTTTTTTTTTTTAATGATTTGATTATTCGATGTTTTTCTCTATCTGCATTTAGATACACACACACACATATATATAATTTCACAATTCTTTTTAAAATTTCTTTGTTGTAATTTGGATTTATCACAACATTCTTCATGAATTTATTTTCTAAATACATATATAATAATGAAGTTTCCAGATCATATCAAACAGGTCTAGCTCGAAACCGAAATGAAATTGATCAAAAACTTGATAAATTAGATGCATAAACCAACACAAAAGGCAACAGTCTCTTTTTAAATTTTTTTTGATAATTTCAAGATTAAAAATAAATATAATAAATTAAGTTCAACTAGCTCTTATGTCACGTTTTGAAATATAGAATTAGTGTTTTGAATTTAAATTTAATTTCTTCCATTGTCAAAGTCAAGTCGTCAATGGATAATGTGTATAATTCATGATAATATTATTTATTCCATTTATAAAATTATTTTGAAATAAATTTCTTATTAAAAAAACATGCACACCCATTCATCCTCTAAGTTAACACACATGTTTTATGAAAGTAGAACATTTTAATATAAAATTATTATTTTAATTTTTAAAAAATTTAAACTTTATCTATCTGACTCCAAAATCCATTTTGATTTACCGCAATTATTATAATTTTTTACATTTGAAATACTTGTTTCTTACCCGCGCATATTTGTTAAAAGTTTGTCAATAATGACTTTAAAACCATACTTAAAATGGAAGGAATCTTTTAGCCTCAGTTTGGTAGAGTGAAAATGGGAGAAAGGAAAAGGGAGGTGATGAAGGGTGATTAAAAAATTGTATTAAGGTAAAATGGGTGAAAGGAAAGGAAAAGAAAGGGAAGGCTTTGGAGGGTTAAGTATAGTTTTGTACAGTAATTTGCTTATCTTTCCAAAAATGGGAGGAAATAGAAGGAAATGGAAGGCAATGACTGATGGATAAGTTGTTATGCCAATTTTATCCTCAAGATTACAGTTGATATTAGGGCATGTATTCAGCGCGGGAACAACGGCGCCAAAATTTACCCACACAAAATCAAGGATTTAGTTTGCAAAACAAGAATTACAGACCTTGATGAAAAAAAAATTTAAAACAAAACCCATACATACAAGTTAGCGGTTGCAAGGGGGGGGGGGGGGGGGGGGGGGGGGTGGGTTAGAATAGAGATGAAGGTGGAGAGGCTAAAATAATTTGTCCTAAAAAGATTATATGTATATTACATAAGTTGTTGTTTTTTTATTTTTTTTTTGACAAATATTACATACTTAAATTTATAAATTTTTCTTTTAAAATATAAAAAGGTATAATAATAAATTTATTAAAATACTTTCATTTCTTTTCTTTTTCCAAAATAATCATTATCTTTTCTTTTCTTTTCCTTTATTAACCAACCAATAGGATAGGAGATTAAAATTACTTTTTCCTTCTCTTCCCTTCCCCTTCCCCTCATAATTAATGTTATCCTCTCTTGCAAACCCACTACCAAACATAGCCTCAAATTCAGTCCGCAAAGTCCATTGGAGCAATTTGGTCGACAAAAAAGTCATTATAATATAGTATTCCACCAGATTTTCCTGGTCTTTTCACTGCTATTATTGTAACCTACAGACTTTGATTTTGACTAAAACTTTTAAAGACGTCAGAAAGGCACATAAATCAAACGATTTCAAGAGCACAGACCACAAAGTGTGCGTGTGCGTGTATAAAGGGAGGATGACTAGACTACTGGCTTAAGTTAAGAGATTGTGAGAAATGTTGGTTGGGCTGGGCTTTGAATGTAGGCTTGTGGCGTTTTGTTTTTGGGCCTCCTTGTAATTATTACTTCATCAATATACTTTTACCTTCCGAAATTATATATATATGTCGATAAATTGACAAAGCCGAACCTAAATTGTGAATCATGTTATGTTGTGTTTGGAATCATGAATGTAATTAGCTACTCCCAAGCTATTGATTCCTACTCCCAAATACAATATAAATGTATTTTGGAATTACAAATTGTATAAAAAATTAGAATTTTGTTATTGTATGCTAAGTATGGAGTACACCTAATTATAATAGTACAAGAATTCTTAAAACAACACCATTTAGAATGACCACAAAAAAAGGTATAATAAATTAAATAAATAATATAACTACAAAAAGCCATCTACAATTCGACCACTAACAAAAAAAAAAAAAAAATCAAAATATTTCTTGAAAAACTCAAACAAAGGGATGAAATTTGACCTAAACCATCTACATAGCTATGGTTCAAATTTTCTCTTCATGCCACCAGTGCCGTCACGTGCTCTCCTTTGATGTTGATCTGAGGGACCATAACCAGAGACAAATCCACATAAAATAAGCATTCGCATCGTCACGGAAAAATAAGCATATAAGCATTTACATCATCAGACTATACAAACGGTAAACACATTAAACTGCATGTTGAGAAGCACATTTTTCTTGTCCAATGTGTCTTTGTGAATACAGAATCAATCAATGCAATCAAATGTAATCAAACATGATGCCAAAAAATGACATCCTTGAAGCTCAAGGCTAGTAAACATGCTCATAGTGTCCAGGTAATGCTTTGTTCAATCTAGGGTAGCTCAAACTCGTGATCATTTTTGCTTGACATTTGGGTAAGAGCAATCGTAAGAAAGAACCAAAACTGATTGAAATTTTGCACCTTTATATAGACATCAATGTTATGTTCATTCTAATCTTTGGAGGTGATAAGCACAAGTGGCAGCTATACTTTCTTGTTGGTTGAGGAGATTGTAGATTTTTTAGACTCAATTTGGCCTTGTGTAGTTCTTTTGGGATGCACTCCCTTTTTGGGGGCTTTTTATACAATTTTACACCATCACTAACGTGCTTTTCAGTCACCCAATTAAATTCCTAATTCTGAAATTTAAGTTATTATCTAATTAAGTGAATTTGACAATATAATTTAAGGTATATTATCCCGACCTCTCCAAAGATTTTAGCTAATCAGCTTTAGATGGAAGTTGCAGAAAAAATAGCTGACACCCCCTGAGAGAGCTTATTGAGAACACAGCCAAATATAGACACCTTTGTTCTCAAGTCCTTTTGGTAGTTTTTAAATAAAAATTAACAAAATTTGAAAAAAATACAAAGTCACCCAACCCACCACCTTCATCTGAAAATTCCTTGACATCTCTCAAAACTGTCTCCAACAGCCCTACCACCACAACCTCATGCCCCACAGTTGCACCTCCATTTCTCCACCGCCGTTATGCCAACACCACATCATTATCACACATCTCCTCGGCACACCCTTGACAATCTAACAACTTCACTTATATATATACATATGCTTCTTATGTATACATATGTATAGAATATATACAAAATTTGTTGGATCATATATATATACACACACGCATTCTGAAATAAAAGAAGAGTTATTAGGAAAATATAACTAGATTTGTACAGTTATAAAACCAATAAATCCCATGTGGAGCTCCTTAAAAGTTAGAACCAATAAACTCAAGTTTTGTGGGGTTCACAGTTGTACATGAGGAAACAATTAAAATATATATACACAAAAAAATAGGGAGCTACTTACTGCATTTGAATTTAACTTAAACCGCTAGCATGTGGCCAATTTTCTTAGTTTTTGAAGTATATACTTTGTTCTTGATCCAAGTATACCATTTAATTTGCCAAAAAGAAAATGATGATAAAATAACAAGTACGTACTCTAAGTTACAATATAGTCCTAATATGTTTGTTATATCGTCTTCATCCTTGATAACATGATACCAGAAACCAACATGAGAACTTATTTGGCAACACAATTAAGCTTTTAACACTCAACATCAGATATATACATATAATACGTAATTAATGATGCCATGTCAATTTTGCACCACTGTGGAAATAACGCCTTATAATTGGATATGTGCCAAGTTGAGGTCCAATGATGAGAATGAGGAGCAACAACAATCGTGTTTTCATAACATTGTAGGAGGGATGAGAAAAGAGCATAGAGTGATGAAGAGGTGGAGAGAAGAGAGGTCAGATGTTGCTCAAGGTAGAAGAAGAAAGAGAGTGTGTTATAGGGAAAAATAGCAAGGGGCCAAGTTCAAAAGTAAATGATGAGTGGCTTCACGAGTCTAGCATATATAGCAAGTAGTATTTCAATAAACAGTGGTATGGTATTGGTATTCCGCTGGAACAAGTAAAAGGTGCCAAACAATATGCAGAAGGTTGAAACCTTTTGCAAACAGTGAAGCTACCTATAATTTCATTTTTCTTTGATCATGCGCTTTGTTCGGAACCAATTATTTTGGGATTTGGAAAAGGAAAAAGAATGAGAATTGGAATTAAAATGAAATTCCATTGATATGTTTGGAACAAATTGAATTTAAAATGGGATTTGGAATTAAAAATAATATTATACCATTTATGCCCTTATTTAAATGATAAATGAAATATTAATTACTTTGTAACAAAAATAATATGTTTACTAACAAAAGTTTATATCAATTTATATATTGACAACTGATTATTATATAAATTACTTAGCGTATCAATTACTAGTAATTAAAAAGTATACCACTTTGAAATTGATACACAACAATTTATGCACTAAAAAATTAACAAGTATATTAATTGATAACTATACTTTTGCTTATAGATTAAATTTTTAATTATTATATTTATTGGTTTCTATACAAGTGTAGTAGAATGACTACAAAAATTACAAAGCAGCTGGTGGATCAATCATATGGGAGAATACCAAACCAAAAAAAATAAAACTATGATATTTGATTGCATATGATATACTTCCTCTGTTTCTCCAAACGCAGACATCTTTTGTGGGACAGAGGTAGTATAACTATAATAATCAAAAAATAAAAATGAAAAAATAAAACGGCACTTACATTGCAATGGCGCCGAGAACTCGCATTCCATTGACCAAGTGAACTGACTGAGACACATTAGAGGCAACAAAATCAACCTGCTGTTCTTCGAAGGAAGACGACAATGAAGTCAAAGGCAGAGGCTTCTTAGACACGGTAAACTTTAAGCAGGTAACCCCGAGCTGATGGTCATCTCCATTGGGTCCTACCCATTCTTGTTGATGACACCATATGAGACCGAAGTTTGCGCCGGATAGATGGAGAAAATTGACAGGTGGAAACAAATTCCATTCCTCGTCATAAGGTTGGGGAAGCAGATTCAAATCCTTCTCAGAGAAGATGACTTCTTTAGGTTTGGCTTGAGGTTTATTGGAATCAAAACAGAGAATGGAACACCGGGTGATATTGTAATCTTCGCAGTAGCCTTGATGCTGTAGATAGGTTGCTGCGTTTTTGACATAGGAATACAAGATGTCATCAACAAAAATGACATTACGGGCCCCATAAGAGGTACCAAAGTTGTTGGTTTCTGAACAAGTTCTCCATATATTGGTATTGAAATTGTATTCAACTAGTAACTGTACATCCATTGTGTGGTTAATAAGACGAGCCTGAAGCACGCAATCCCCACTTTTTGTCTCCTTAATTTGAAATGCTTCTATAACATGCCCTTTAAAATCATCGGGAATACTGTTACAGATATTTGTTGCTGGTCGCCAGCATCTTGTGCTCTCAGCCTCCTCCCTAACTACCCAAAAGCATATGCCCAATGGATCTTCTTCTTCTTCTTTTGCACCAACATTAGTTGCAGTTTCTTCCATCGCCGTCGCAGACTCAGAATCTCTCATCCTCTGTGCCCTTTGCGTTCCTCTTCCTTCCTTCACCTTACACCTTACTCAGAAAAAATAATTTGGAGGATTCAGGTTAGGGTTCCCCTTTTCCGTGCCTTCCTTCCTTGCTTCCTCCAGCATTGGATTGAAGTTAGGGTTTTCATCTTTTCAATCCAACGGCTGAGATCAATTATGATTGGCCTATGGGCCAATGCCAGGCTATTCGGCTTTTCAGTTATTGGATCTGTATGTATTATTTCAGATTGGGCCCTTATGAAACATAATGCGAACGTGGGATAAAATTGTAGGAAAGTAGTCATGGCAATCTTTGTAGGTGGTGACATGCTGGCTGGCCTAAAATTTAAAATATTTGTATCTATATCTATACCCCTCTATCTATATCTATATCTATATCTATATATATATATATATACTATTCTAAAAGTGTAGCTAATTTTTTAACATTTTTATATTTTTAAAAAATACAAAATTATTTCATTAAATACTAAACATTAAATCACCTTATGATTCATAAAATTTTCAATTTTTCTTTATAAAAATTCCGATGACGTGTTATTAAATCACCTTATTTAACTCTCACAACTAAAAAAAATGTAAAAAGAAAATAAAACACACATTTTTTTGTTTCTAAAATACATGCACATCCACTCCACTTAAAACATTTTTGCTAAAAAAAAAGAAAAAAAAATGTAAAAGGAAAATAAAACACACCTTTTTTGTTTCTAAAATACACATTCACTCCACTTCAAACATTTTTGCTTATTTTAAATTTAGAAATATTCTAAAAGTGTAGCTAATTTCTTAACATTTTTAGATTTTTAAAAAATACAAAATTATTTCTTTAAATATTAAACATTAAATCACCTTATGATTCATACAATTTTTAATTTTTCTTTATAACAATTCCAATGACGTGTCATTAAATCACCTTCTTTACCTCTCAGAACTAAAAAAAGAAAAAAAAATGTAAAAGAAAAATAAAACACACCTTTTTTGTTTCTAAAACATACATCCACTCCCCTTCAAACATTTTTGATTATTTTAAATTTAGAAAAATTGTTAACATATATATTATAATGATTCATAATGTCTATATAAATATTACAACACTTTAGTTTCTTGTCATTATGTGTAATGATTATGTTTCTTTAAATTTTACGATATAACCGTTCCAAATGAAAAATCCTTTAATTTTCTGTTATTACATTTGATTGGGAGTCTATAAAAAGGCACCAAAATTATCTACCAATTTATTTTTAATTTATTTACAACCCTTCTGAGTCATGTAATTTCCAAATTTTATTTATTAAAAACCACGTATCATTAATTCACCTTATTTAACTCTTTCAAATAAATAATACTCCTTAATAAGAAAAAAAAAAACATAAAAAAAAAAAAAACTATAATATTCCCACTATTTAAAAATGAACAAAACCTTTCCAAAAAATTTTCCCAAAAATTCTAAAGCCTAATTCACACTATTCCAAACAAAACAAAAAATTGTAGAAGAAAAAAAAATATATACCTTATTTGTTTAAAAACAAAAACAAAAAAATATTCACGCAACAAAATGAAAATGAAAAAGAAAAACGTAAAAGGCAAAAAAAAAAAAAAAACATACATTTTTGTTTTTAAAATACACATCCACTCCACTTCAAACATTTTTGTTTATTTTAAATTTAGATTTAGAAATCTATTTATTCTAAAAGTGTAGCTAATTTCTTAACATTTTTGAATTTTGTTTTTTCACCATAAAAGTCATATTAAATAAAAACACATAATAATTTAATTCAAATAAATTGAATAGCCCAACAGTTTCAAAAAGCTTTAAACTCATGAATATTTTCATTAAATGTTTTAAATACTATTTTTATGATTTTTAATTCAAATGAATTGAATTAAATGGTTCAGCTACCTGCTAATTCTAAATTGACTTACCATTTTCCATTATATCTGTTGAGGCTGAGATTCGCGCAGTCCGATACGTTACCGTTTTCCTGCAAGGAAGAGAGGAGAAGATCGATGAACCTTGACGGCACCGGTGTGATGCCTGCCAAGAGCTCTCCGACGATCAAATTAGTCACGGAGGTCTAAAAAGAAGGCAGGGATTAATAATAGTTTTTACGTCGTATCTTCTTTAATGGCTTGATGCCCTATTTATAGCTGTCGATTGGAATCAAAATTGTTCCGCCGATGTCGATGGTTGATCTTATCTTCCGCTTGTGCGAAATCATAGGAGATTTATTACCAGATTTGCCGGGATATGATTTAATCCTTTTGACCTCCTCCAGTTATAGTAGGATTATTCTTACCTGTTGAACCACGTCAGATTTGATTTCATTATCCTTGATAATGAAATCTAATCAATCTTATCGAGGGTAGGGTAGGTTTATATTTTTCCCTATCAGTTGCCACCCATTCCCAAACTTGCACGTCTAGCTTTGGGAATGTAATAAATAATAATAATAATATATATATATATTTTTAACCCCTGTGAACAGTACCCACAAGCACTATTCACGTGAATAGTAACTCAGGAATATTTTTTTTTTTTTTTTTTGGCACCCGAGGGAACAGAACCCTCGAGTGCTGTTCATGAATAAATTTTTATTTTATTTTATTTTTTTTTACACCCGAGGGAACAGTACTCTTCCTTTGATAAATGAATAAATTGTACGAGTTTCACTCCTTAATAAGGGAATTGAACTTTACGAGTTTTACTCAACTCGTTCCTTTAGCAAGGGAATTGAACTTTACGAGTTTTACTCAGCTCACCTCTTTAATAAAATATTTTTATTTACTATCCCTTATTATAAGGGGATATTAATTACGGGATTCATCCAACCCGGGTCCTTGTAGTACATGACATTCATTTATTATCCCTTATATTGCGGGGATATGGATTACGGGATTCATTCAGCCCGGGTCCTGATAATACAGGATACTTATCCCCTATAGTCCGGGGATATGGATGACGAGATTCATTCAGCCCGGGTCTTTATAATACAGGACACTCATTTACTATTCCCTTATAGTCCGGGGATATGGATTACGGGATTCACTCAACCCGGGTCCTTGTAATACAGGTTACTCATTTACTATCCCTTATAGTACAGGGATACTGCACGTATAAACTAAAAGGAATTTTATTAAAGACCATCATTGCCTCAAGGTTTATTAAAAACAAAAAAACACGTGATGGAGCTACCTTCTATTTAAAATGATTAACTGAGATGCCCCCAGTCTTTATTGTGAATGACTTGATAAGGCTAATTCTAGCCGTGAGACACAATTTCTAGTCGGTATACTCATCTGAGTCATTCTCATGATATGTGCTATCGCTCTGGCTGAAGAACGATTTCTTATATTTGGTATTATTTTCATCCCTGGCGAGAGGGGCTGGCCTCTTCTTGTCCTCTCCTTCCTTCCGTGCACTCATGGTGTCTTCAGCGTTGATATGTTTTTGCGCTCTGACCAGCAACTCTATCATGCTGGTGGGAGGTTCTTTTGATAAGGAGAACAAGAATCTGAAGGTTTGGAGTCTTCCTATGAAAGCGGTCAAAGCTACTTTGTTGTCCGCCTCTTCTACCTACAACATTTCTGTGTTGAATCGGGTGATGTATTCCCGAATCAACTCTTCCTTTTGTTGCTCTACGGTAAACAGGTAGGTAGCCGGCCTTCTATGCCTCTGACCTGTAATGAAGTGGCTCACAAACTGCTTACTCAATTCTTCGAAGGTGTTGATGGTTTCTGGCTTCAACTTGTTCAACCAAACTCCCGCTGATCCCTTAAGTGTAGTGGGAAAAGCTCGGCACATGATTTCATCTGGCACAGCGTGTAAATGCATAAGAGCTTGAAAAGTTTCCAGGTGATCGAGGGGATCTTTGGTCCCATCGAAGCTTTCGAACGAGGGCATCCTAAACTTGCTAGGTAGTGGACATTTTATAACGGCGGGGCTGAAAGGTAGGTTGGTCCTTTGTACCAGGTTATCTACGGCGGTAGGACCTTTCCCTTTCATAGCCTGCATTACATCTTCCATTTTCCCTTTGAGATCCTTGATCTGCAAGTCGAGATGGGTAACTTTCTTTGTTTTTTCCTTATGACAGAAGGCTATGCTTTCAGGAGGTCGAGAACTCCGTGGGAGAGATGGGTGAACCACCTCTCTATGTTGGGTTCCCACCTGGCTTTATTCCACTTCAGTCTCATTTTGGGGGGGATGATTATCCTTCTCTTCAAGATTCCCATTACCTCCGTTTGGACTTGAGAGATCTTGTCCTGGAAAGTTTTGTTGAACCGGTGGAACAAGGTGTTGCAAGAGCATTGCATTTTGCTGGATCAATTGGTTCATACCCTGACTCAGAGTTTGAACCTACAGTTCCAACGCTGTAAGCCGTGCCTGGTCGTTTGGGATGTCCAGATTTTCACCCGACTCTACCCTTTGACCAGATCTCTGCGACGGTGTTCCTTCGGTAACCATACCAGACTGCAAACGTATATACCCAACGAGTAATTAATTGATTCAAGGGAATCGTCGTTCCCACAGACGGCGCCAACTGTTGAGGCTGAAATTCGCGCAATCCGATACGTTATCGTTTTCCTGCAAGGAAGAGAGGAGAAGATCGATGAACCTTGATGGCACCGGTGTGGTGCCTGCCAAGAACTCTCCAACGATCAAATTAGTCACGGAGGTTTAAAAAGAAGGCAGGGATTAATAATAGTTTTTACGTCGTACCTTCTTTAATGGTTTGGTGCCCTATTTATGACTGTTGATTGGAATCAAAATCGTTCCGTCGATGTCGATGGTTGATCTTATCTTCCACTTATGCGAAATCATAGGAGATTTATTGCCAAATTTGATTTATTGCCAGATTTGTCGGGATATGATTTAATCCTTTTGACCTCCTCCAGTTATAGTAGGATTATTCTTACCTATTGAACCACGTCAGATTTGATTTCATTATCCTTGATAATGAAATCTAATCAATCTTATCGAGGGTAGGGTAGGTTTATATTTTTCCCTATCAATATCTATATATAATAGTTATTACCTTATAAATTAAATTATCTATGAATATATATACTCGGTATAAAAGTGCAAGATGACTCTGTCTAATTTAATTTCTTAATATTCTTTAATTTTTTAAAAACAAAAAATCTTAAAATTATATTTATAGAGTATAGCTAATTTCTTAACATTTTT